GGTCCCGCAGTGGACCTGCGATTTGGTCACGAGGGCGGATGGGGGCAGCCCAGAGCTCTCCCGGGGGTCCCGCAGTGGACCTGCGATTTGGTCACAAGGGCGGATGGGGGCAGCCCAGAGCTCTCCCGGGGGTCCCGCAGTGGACCTGTGATTTGGTCGACAACCAGAGAGAGCCTCTACCTCCTGCCCAGCACGGGCAGGGGTGCCGGAGAGACCAAAGCCAGAGGGGAGGAGCCTCCAGCCAGCAGCTTCCCTGGCTGGGCTGGCGTTGGCCTCATGTTGCCCTGTGGTTTCCTGAGAATTTACATCGAATCACCTGTGCTGAGGGGGCATCAGGCCTGCCTGTCATCCGTCCCTGCAGTGACCCCGTCGCCCTTCTCTGGCCTCTCCCATCTGAACACCGGCCCTCCGACCACACTGTAGCGGCCCCAACCGCACCCAGCCCTCCTCGGCTTCCCAGACGGCGGCTTGGCTTCCCGCCCCAGGAGCACACGGCTCTGAGGGCCATGAGTGTGCCCCTTGTGGACGCCGCCTGGGCCACCAGCAGCAGGACGACCTCCTGTTGGCCACGTTCTGCCTGGGGGAGCTGAGGTCTGGCAGCGGAGTCGCACACAGGTCACCGATGTCCCTGCTCCCTTCATCATCTCCCACCCTCAGGGCCCTGCTGCCCGGGAGGAGGTACACCATCCAGCTGGCCACCCTCAGTGGGCTCAGAGGAGAGGAGCACCCCACGGAGAGCCTGGCCACTGCACCAGCACATGTGTGGACCCGTGAGTAGAGCGGCGTGGCCCCCTGCACACCAAACGCCGTCTTCCAGAAGCTCTGACACCCCCCAGTCCTCTCCAAAGCGTCCACAACACCAGAAGCCCAGCCCTGGCCTCCCAGACGTCTCTTCCACTAGGGCCACTGGGCCGGGCTGGGCTGAGCAGGGGCCCCTGTGCTGGGTCAGCTGTCCAGGGCAGCCTCCACCCCTAAACGCTCCTGGTAGCTCTTCAGTGTGGAGTTCCTACTGGGTACCAACCAGAGGGCCAGAGGAACTCACTGTCTCCCCAGCACATGGGAGGGGAGAGAGCACGCAGTCAGCGCGCGGGTGTGAGGGGGATGGGTGAACTGGGCAGAGAGGAGGCTGCAGCTCCCTCTGTGAGGAACGGAGGCTTGACAGGCCCCTGCCCACTGTGCACTCCGGTTCGGCCTGCCTGGGAAGGCCTGGGAGAGGCCCGTGGGGCAGGGGAGTCTGCACGGGGCTCCGACAGCACTGCAGGGAGGGTGCCAGCTGACGGGCCAGGGCCTGGGGGCTTCCCTGGGTGGCTCCTACCCCGAGGGGAGGGTGGCATTGGGGCCTGCAGGCCTCTTGGCCGGGAGACACTGCTGTGCGTGCTACCCAGCGCCCGCCTCAGCGCTGTGCCATTCTCTGTAATAAAGAATCTGGTTCCATCGAGGCTGCGGCAGCCCGTCAGGTCCTCACACTGTGTTCTCGCCGGAAGACCCCACGGGCCCCCTCACCTCCCCCTGCTCCTGCCTCGTCCAGGGCCCCTGCCTCCAGCAAACCTGACGGCCGCCCGAGTCACGGCCACCTCTGCCCACGTGGTCTGGGACGCCCCGACTCCAGGCAGCCTGCTGGAGGCTTACGTCATCAATGTGACCACCAGCCAGAGCGCCAAGAGCCGCTACGTCCCCAGTGGGAAGCTGGTGTCCTACACACTGCGGGACCTGCTGCCGGGGCAGCGGTACCAGCTGTCCGTGACGGCGGTGCAGAGCACGGAGCAGGGACCGCTGCACAGCGAGCCCGCGCACCTGTACATCATCACCTGTGAGTGCCGCAGGCGGGCTGGGGCAGTGCTTGCCAGCCTTCCACCCTGTTCACAACTGACCTGGCCGTGCAGGGGCCTAGACGCAGGGCCGTGGTAGCAGGGGGGAGTGAGTCTGTGTGTGGAAGTGCCGGCTTTCCAAACCCACCAGGAAAGGAAGGGCTCACGGACAGGTGGCACCAGCAATTTGCATAACAAGCACGTTGAGCCTCAGCTGGTGCCGGACTTCCTGTAGATCCCAGACAGGCTGAGCCTCACCTGAAGACGGTGCTGAGGGTGGCAGCGAGGAGGAAGCCCCCGAAGTGCCTTGCACCCCAGCCTGACCCATGAGGAGCCGCTGGACACACACGAAGGGCCCGGAGGCCACAGGCAGGCGGGAACGCCGGGTGCAGAGCGTAGGGCAGGAGCTGCCTGGAGGGGCAGAATCGACCCTGCCAGTTCCACCCGGGTCCTGAACGCCCCGCGGCTGCTTCTGTGAACTAGGTCTTCCACGTTCACACAAGGAGCTGTGGGAAATCGGGAGCAGAACAGGAAGAGAAGAAAGAGACCAGCAGGGAGGAGTGGCCGGCGGAGCAGAGCAGGGGCAGCTCCCCAGGGAAGGGGGGGCTCCAGTTCCGACCCTGGGCTCCTCCCTAACGCATGAGGCTGCGCTGGGGACACGAAGTGCACAAGCTGGGCGAGTTCTCAGACCCGACCCCCGCCCCACCAGCTCGGGACCAAGCACACCAGCCAGGCGGAAGGGGCAGGTTGAGGCCTCTGAGAGGGAAGGGAGACTCCCAGGGGGAAGGAGGGCCCAGCCTGGGAAGCTGCAGGACACTGTCAGGGTGAGCGCTGGGGCAGGGACCCCCAGTGAAGCGTCTTATGAGGAAGCCAGTGTAGGGAAACAGTTGTGTCCCAGGGCAGCCTAGGACCTGCGTCCAGCCTGAGGGCGGGCACCTGCCTTGCAGCTGGAGAGGTTGAGTGATGGAGGGGGGGCCTAGACTCAGCCCCTCCTCACGACTCCCAGGCCAGCACGTGTCTGTGTCACGGCTGCGCGTGGCTCCTCAGAAGGGACTCGGCAGGTGGGCTGGAAGGGAACCCAGGGCGTCTGGGGAAGCCACATGTGCCTTGGATGACCACAGCCCACACGCACCCCCCTCCCTCTGTGGAAGGTGCCTCCTGTGCCGCAGGGGCAGGGACAGGAGCAGAGGGCAGCCCCAGACCAGCCCCTTCCTCCCGCCTGCTCTGCAGCCCCCAGCGATGACACCGACAGGCGCTGGCACCAGGGAGGCCACCACCCTCGGGTGCTCAGGAACAGACCGCCCCCAGCACGCCTGCCGGAACTGCGCCTACTCAATGACCACAGTGCCCCCGAGGCCCCCACCCAGCCCCCCAGGTATGGGCCCCACCCGTCGGCCCCACTGACCGAGGTGGCGCTCCAGCTGTGGTGACCCTCCCACCCTCTCTGCAGGTTCTCGGAGCTTGTGGACGGCAGAGGAAGAGTGAGCACCAGGTTCGGCGGCTCCCCCAGCAAAGCAGCTGCCGTAAGACCACGTGAGTGCCAGGGCCTCCCCAGCCGCCTCGGTGGCCAGCCCTCGTCCTCGCTGCCCTCTGACCAGGCCCCGTCCCCTCCATGATGAGACCTCCCCCACCACGAGCGCAGTCTCCAGCCAGGGACCCCACCCCGACTGCGGGCAGCATGTGCCTCCACGGCGGGAGGGGCAGCTGGTGAGGGCCTCAGTTGTCTGTGTGGGCCGCTGGCAGGGCGCACAAGAGAAGATACACGTTTCAGAAGCAGGTCTGAGCCGCTATGGCCGCTTTGTTTGCCGAGGTAGGGCTTGGTTTTGGTCAGCCGTGGGCAGGAGGCTGTGAGGGTCTAACTTGCCGCTCCAAGTGTGGTCCAGCACTCCCATCACTGTCCTAGCAAGGTCTCCCGGCAGCAGGAGGCAGAGGGTCCAGATGCCTCGGCCCCTTCCCACCGGGTTTAGCGGGTGAGGGTGCTCTGGGAATCTGCCTGTGATTCTGATGCAGGCCTTTGAGACATGCTGGAGTGAGGCGGGCAGCACCGCCCCAGAGGGGACCTCTCTGGCCCTTGCCTCTCACCTGGAAGGCCGAGTGCTTACCCTCATGGAATTCCCCAACAGAGCCTAGTCACCAGTTTCATGAACATGTTCTGAGCAAAAACTCCCCAGGCAGAGGAGGGAGGGGCATGCAGCAGGGGGAGTGACAGGGAAGGACAGAGCCTGGGGCGGCTGCTGAGCAGTGAGCAGGGGAGAGAGGCCCGGAGGGTGTCGGGCGAGGGCAGGTAAGGTCTGGAGTACGGCGGGCGCGTTGTACCCGCAGCCATGGGAGCAGACACAAAACGCCCAAGGTGGCACTGAGAACCCTCACCGAAGGGATGCTTGGGGCGTGGGCCCGAGGCAGGTCAGCAGAGACAGCGCAGATCAGAGAGCAGGGGTGGAAGGAGAGGATGCATAATATGACCCTAAGAAGGAGAAAGCAACCGTGTCGGCCGTGAGAAGAATGGGGCCTCTCAGCACGGTCACAGTGACTGTCCCCAAAGCAGCAAGTGGAGGGCCCAGCCCCTCCAGAGGGTCAGCAGGAGCGTGAGGGCCAGCCCTTCAGGGGAGGCAGCGCTGGGGCCAACAGGCGCCAGGGCCACGCAGGGAGCCTGGTCCCCGCCAGGGACTCTCTTGCTCTCAAGGTATAGAGGTGCTCAGACGGTGGCCCCGGGGCCATCCTGGGTGCAAAGCAGCAGTGCGGAGCGGTCACCACCTCGCTTCTCCTAGAGCCCACAGCCATGGCGCCGCTCAAGAACACGGAGGAAGCCCCCAAGCAGGGGAGCCTGGCCCTCCAGCTCCTTGAACACGGCGACAGGGACATGGAAAGTAAGTTGGCGGCGCCAGTGGGGACTTTGGGACTGACTGTTCTCAGGGGCCTTAGAGGCTGCAGGCAGGAGGGCCCACCCCTGGTGAGGGACCAGGAAGCACAGAGTCTCCCTGAGGGAAGGCTGAGCACCAGGCACCCCGGTCTGGGAAGGGGAAGCCACACCACCAAGCAGTGGGAGCCCACAGATGGGAACAGGCCAGGGCAGGTGGTGTGGACCCACCCAAACCACCCAGGGTCTGCGCTGGAGAGGCTGGCTTTGCCGCTGCTTCCCCTCCCCTCCCCTCCTTTGCCTCCACATGTGACAGAGCCTACCCCAGCCCCTACCTCTAGACGCCTCACCCCTCGCTTCTCCGAAGAGGAGCCGGTGGAGTCAGGATGGGTGAAGCAAAGGGGCAGCCACCATGGGGCCCCAGCTTGAGGACCAGCTGGGCACAGTGGACACTGGGGCCACATAGGACCCGAACTGTCTCCTAGTCCAGGGCCCTGCCTCGTGAGAATCGAGGCATCTGCCCAGCACCTGCAGAAAGAGTGCCCGGAAGCAGTTCCCCTCCAGGCAGCACGAAGACGTGTGTGTTCCTCACCCTGAGTCAGACTCGACCGCCCCCCCCCGGCTTTAATCCTTTGGGCTCTGTCCTCCACAGAAGGCTCTTCCAGCCCCCGAGTCACACCACAGACTCCGGCTGGGAGCACCCCTCAACCCAGCCCCAAAGGCCTAGTACTGCCGGGCGCGGTGGCTCACGCCTGTAATCCCAGCACTTTGGGAGGCCGAGGCGGGTGGATCACGAGGCCAAGAGATCAAGACCATCCTGGTCAACATGGTGAAACCCCGTCTCTACTAAAAATACAAAAAATTAGCTGGGCATGGTGGCGCGTGCCTGTAATCCCAGCTACTCAGGAGGCTGAGGCAGGAGGATTGCCTGAACCCAGGAGGCAGAGGTTGTGGAGAGCCAAGATCACGCCATTGCACTCCAGCCTGGGTAACAGAGGGAAACTCCGTCTCAAAAAAAAAAAAAAAAAGGCCTAGTACTTGGTACGGTGTGAGCTGCTGCGTGTGGTCTTGCCCGCAAGGCCTTGCCCCCAGCTTCTCCCGGACACCTGTGTACATCAAGGGCCCCTGAGGTGCCAGAGGGTGTGTTTGCAAGCTTGGCTTCACCAACCCGAGTTCACACCCTCCCGCACCGTATGAGGTCTGGACTTGCCCCTCGCCCCTGTGAGGACGGGTTTGTGCGTCCACTGCCGTGAGTCAAGGCTTCTCTTAATTAAAGTCTGGCCCATTCATAGTGAAGACTCTCAAGTTGACCTTTAAGTGACCAAAAACAAACATTTCATCAGATGGTTTGCATTATGTCAGCCCCTTTAAATACTAGGTGTTCATTTCCTAGAACTCAGAAATTGGGGGGCCCGTGGTAGCCCTCCTGGGTCTCTTCAGCAGGGGAGATTCAAGAAGGGCTCGGGCTGCAGGCAGGTAGCTTTCGCCAGCGTAGAGGCTTATGCCCCGGTGGGTGCAAATGGCGTTAAGTGAACAGGCAAAGTGGAATCATTAGGGGCCCCTCAGTGTGCAGACCAGTCACGATCTTTGGTTCATGTTGGCCCGCACACTAGCAAACTTTTATTTCATTAGTTGGCCTTTGAATAGTGGCCTTAAGTCAAGAACCCCCGCTATGAACTAGAATGTGACAAATGCCTTGTGTCTTGCTGTGGTACTCCCTGTTCCCCCCTTCACCTAACCATGATCCTGAACTTTGTGCTTAGAATTCCTGTTTTCTTCAGAGTGGAAGGTGGGGAGAGTGACTTTATCACACGTGTATGTGTGGCAGAACAGTCAGTGAGTCTTCTTTGCAAGATAAGTGTCTCGCCGCGTGACCGTTAGGCCTGTGTTTCCCCCCGCATCCTCAGACAGAGGTTGGCCCACGCAGTCTGGGAGGCTGTGGCTTATCACACCCACTACCGAGCAGGCTCCGCTGGGTGAACTCACCGGCTCTTCCCCTCTGCGGAGCACACGTAGGTTGTGTTTGGCCGGCATGAGCAGTGCTGCAGCGGACATTCCCGTACAGGGTTTCCGGGCGTGTGCAGGCGGAAATGCTAGATCTAGGACGAGGACATGTGAATGCCCAAATTACACGAGAACTTCGCTAAGTCATTTTCTTCTTAATTTTTTTTTTTTTTTTTGAGACGGAGTCTCGCTCTGTCACCAGGCCCCAGGCTGGAGTGCAACGGCACGATCTCAGCTCACTGCAACCTCTGCCTCCTGGGTTCAAGCAATTCTCCTGCCTCAGCCTCCTGAGTAGCTGGGACTACAGGTGTGTGCCACCACACCCAGCTAATTTTTGTAGAGATGGGGTTTCACCATGTTGGCCAGGAGGGTCTCGATCTCTTGACCTTGTGATCTGCCCACCTTGGCCTCCCAGAGTGCTGGTTACAGGAGTGAGCCACCGCGCCCAGCCTGCCAAGTCATTTCCCAAGTGGTGACAGCAGTCTCCACTCCTGCAGCAGTGACTAAGAGGTGCAGTTAATCCCTGGCCTCCCCAGAACTAGGTTGTGCCGGGTTTGAGACCCTGCAGGCAGAACGGGTGTCTGCAAGCCCTGGGATCCGGGTTTGTATCTCCTGAGCACTGATGTGATTGAGCATCTCCTCATAGGCATCCACCAGAGGTGCTGGCTCTTCTGTGAAATGCCTGATCATGCCTTTTGACTTTTTCTTGGGTTATTTGTACTTAATCATTTGTCAAACTTTTTATATGTTTCAAAACACTCTGTAGGGTTGCTGTTAAGACGTCCCTGGACAATTGTGTACAGTGTCTAAAATCCATGTGGAATTGCAAAGGACCCAGAATAGCAAAACGATTATGAAAAAGAGGAAAAAGTTGGAGGATTCACAGCTCCTCGTGTCAGAACGTGCTGCAAAGCAACAGTAATGGAGTCAGTGTGGTAATGGCTTAAGCATAGGCATTTAGATCAATGGAAAATAATTGAGAGTCCAGAAATAAACCACACATCTATGGCCAACTGATTTCAACAAGGGGGCCAAGACCATTCAATGCAGAAAGAATAGTCTTCTCAGCAGGCGGTGCTGGGGCAGCTGGATATCCACGTGCAAAAGAATGAGGCTGGACCCTTCCTACCGTATTCCTTGTAGCACAGACGGGCCAACGATCTAATGTTAGGAGCTAAAACCAAAACTCTTAGAAGAAAACACAGGAGTAAATCTTCATGATCTTGGATTTGGCAGAACAGAGGGTCCTCAGGCCCAACAATAAAAGTACGAGCGGTAACAAATGTATCTGTATACATGAGCTGCTCTTCATCAAAACTTAGAACTTCTGTGCCTCAAAGGACGCTGCGGAGAAAGTGAAGTGACGGTCTGCAGGGTGGAGGAAACAGCTGCGAATCACACCTGAGCGGAGACCTGTATCTAAACTGAAGCACTCTTACCACTGAATAATAGAAACACAACCCATTTAAAATGGCAAAGGCCCTCAACAGACGTTTCTTCAAGGAAGACGTACAATGGCGTCTTCCCATCATTGGTCACCAGGGACATGCAAACCAAAGCCACTAGAGTGGTGGGAATTAAAAAGGGTCAGGTGATAATAAGCGTTGGTGAGGACACGGAGAGATAGAACCCTCTGCGCTGCTGGTGGGAATGTAAAGTGGTGTAGCTGCTTTGGGGGAAAAAAAAGTCTGGCAGTTCCTTAAAGGATAGCCAAGAAATTTCAGGCTGTCCTCCATGATCTTTTGTATTGTTACTTTGAAATGGTTACATGTATATGTTAGGATAAAGAAAATAATTGTTAATGCCACCAAGATTTTCAGTGTAAAGAATTGAAAATATAATATGAAACAAATTGAAAATCTTGTTTGTTTTGGCCGGGTACGGTGGCTCACGCCTGTAATCCCAGCACTTTGGGAGGCTGAGGCAGGCGGATGACTTGAGGTCAGGAATTTAACACCAGGCTGGACAACATGTTGAAACCCCGTCTCTACTAAAAATACAAAAATTAGCTGGGCTTGGTGGCAGGTGCCTATAATCCCAGCTACTCAGGAGGCTGAGGCAGGAGAATCGCTTGAACCCGAGAGGCGGAGGTTGCAGTGAGCAGAGATTGCACCACTGCACTCCAGCTTGGGTGACAGAGTGAGACTCCTTCTTTAAATAAATAAATAAGAATCTTGTCTGTCCTTTGATTCTGTTAATTTGAAATGGAAATATTAGTATGAATTCGTAATGTTTATTAAAAAAAAAAAATTCTAGTTCAATTCATTTTAAGGCCCGAAGCTGTGACATCCCATCATAGGGAGCAGCCTGAGTGCCCAGGCTATGGGGTCTAGATCTCGTTCTCACCAGGAAACCAGTGATCTTTGGAGAAATGGGTGATTCCAAGACTGAAGTAGGATGTGGACAAAATAAGCCCAGGACATGCTGTGCAAAAAGAAAGCAAGATTTGAAAACAGCAGACCACGTCCTGAGGGCGGGGAGCCAAACTGCAGGGCTCTATGGCCAGAGACAGAATCCACTGAGCATCAGGAAAAGTGCTGACAGCAAAGGACAGAATCCCATCAAACACATCAGCCTCTCTGTCTTCATCATGATACTCAGAAAGAAAAAGCAACTTAGTGGGCAACTTTAGAGCTTTCCGAGGACTGACTCAGTCTGCAGGAACACAAGTAAAGGAGCAGGATGGAGCCTTCGCCCTGCCTTGCCTGTGTGGACCACAGTCCCAGGTGACCACGGGCAGGTGAGGGAAAGCCTGTCTTCACAGACCACTCTCCAGCAGGCGAGGGCAGGAGCGACAGGGTCAGACAGGCCGATGGGGGAACAGTCCTTGGATCAGGGATCTCGATGCCTTGCTCGAGCCATCGGGGACCTCATCCTGGGTTGGTCAAACTGCCAGCACTGGACCAGTGACCAGTCCTCGTGTCTTGCGGTGGGACTCAAACACATCACAGGCCGCCTGGGGTGGCTGGGGCTGCACGAGCATCCCTCAGAAGCAGCCCTGCAAAGACCCTCTGATCCTGAATCCTAGGAAGCCCCTCTCTGTAATCAGAGTTTACAGGAAACGGGGGTGGGAACAAGCGAGCAGTGAGCCACATCCAGGCAGGGACTCCACAGCACCTCGTGTTTTCCGTGAATAGAGCAGGAGGATGACGGAGACGTGAGACACATGAAACCAAGCAACGTGGAGACCCTTAGGAGCCCTCATCAGGTGAGACCTTAAATGACCACACTCCTGAGACAACCGGGGAAATTGGATCACGACCTGGGATTTCTCGTGATGCTGAGGAACGACTGCTAATTTCTAATCGTAACAATTTGTGGTTACGTAAAGTATTAGATGCGCTGCCGCGTTCACAGGAGCAGTGGTATCTGAGCTGCTTTGAAATTCTGCAACAAGAGAAAGAGGGCGACAGAGATGAAAACAGACGAAGCCGGGCTGGCCAGCGTGGACCCCTTTGTGCTTACATGTTGTGGGTTTGAACATTTCCATAATAAAGGGTTTCTTTTTTTTTTTAAAGCCCACAACTCATTTTAAGCATATCAAGAAAGGCAAAAAGACGGCCGGGCGTGGTGGCTCACGCCTGTGATCCCAGCACTTTGGGAGGCTGAGGCGGGTAAATCACGAGGTCAAGAGATCAAGACCATCCTGGTCAACTTGGTGAAACCCCGTCTCTACTAAAAATACAAAAAAAATTAGCTGGGCATGGTGGTGCGCGCCTGTAGTCCCAGCTACTCAGGAGGCTGAGGCAGGAGAATTTCTTGAACCTGGGAGGCGGAGGTTGCGGTGAGCCAAGATTGCGCCATTGCACTCCAGCCTGGGTAACAAGAGGAAAACTCAATCTCAAAAAAAAAAAAAAAAAAAAAAAAAAAAAAAAAAAAAAAAAAAAAAAAAAAAAAAAAAAAAAAAAAAAAAAAAAAAAAAAAAAAAAAAACAGGAATCTTAACAAAGCTAAAAAATAATCATAAGGAGAAAAGTAAGGACAGAGTGAACACAAATGGAGAAATGTGAGCTGGCCCCTTCCTGTGTCACTGCTGACCGCCCAGCCCCTGTGGCCAGTGTGGCCAGCCAGCTCTGCACAGAGGGCCCTGTTAGAGGACCAGGAGGGGCCTCAGGAGCCGAGCAGCAGAAACCCTGTTCAGGGGCAAAGTCAGCAAAGGGCAGGGCTGGGGGAGGGGCCCCAGGCTAGAGGAGGCTCTCACTGAAGGCCCTGCTCCTCCCTCCCTATCCTCCTCCTCCTTGTTCATCTTCCTTCCAGTAATGAGGTCAGAGCTGGGCACGCTGAGGGCTGTCTCCTCTGCTCTCTCTGCACCTGAACTGGGACCACACTCTAGGGCCCAGAGGTGTTTAGGAGGCCACCCTGCATCAGGCCAGGTCATCGAGGAAGGGACAGCAGCGTGTCCATGAGGCAGGCCTGTCCTGGGGTCCCAGTGACTAACCTCTTGTGACATCTGTTTTCAGACGCCCCTGGGAACTGTTCAGAAAACCCCTGTCAGAATGGAGGTACCTGTGTACCCGGCACGGACGCCCACAGCTGTGACTGCCGGCCAGGGTTCAAAGGCAGACGCTGTGAGCTGGGTAAGTCAGGGCTTGGCCTCAGGGTGCCCCTCCCAGCACAGCCTGTGCCTCCAGCTAGGGCTGTTGGGCCACAGCTGGGTTTGCCACAGGAGCCTCCAAACCATGAGGTGCCAGACGGGGCCCAAGACTTCCCAATCCCAGGCAGGGAGCCTGGTGACCAGGCTGACCGGTGAGCCACGGGGGCTGTGCCGCCTCTCATGGGGGTCAGAACAGCCACAGCACGCGAGGCACAGCTGCGGAGGGCTCGCTGACCCCAGCCAGAGCGGTGTCAGTAGGAGACACTCACCCACTCCACAACACAACCCGCCCTGGCCTTAGAGGAAGCCAGCCTGCAGACCTCGGGCCCTCTCCTCGGGCATGGGCACAGCCTCAGGAGGGGCAGGAGTGCAGCGTCAGGAGCCCCTGGCGAGCACTGCCCCCGTTCTTTGTCGCAGCCTGTATAAAGGTGTCCCGCCCCTGCACAAGGCTGTTCTCCGAGACCAAGTCCTTTCCCGTCTGGGAGGGAGGCGTCTGTCACCACGTGTAAGTCGGTTTCCATCGTGTGTTCTTGACTCCTCCAAGTGCTTTCTCAAAGCTACCCACCTAACCCTGAGGAGGGATGGTGGCTGCAGTCACAGAAGGGACTTGCCTTGACCACCAATTCCCTCCACATCACAAATGGGGCAACTGAGGCAGAAAAACCCAGTAAGCCCCAGGTCCACGCGGCTCAGAATCAGCGGCTGAGAAGAAGCCATCAGGCCTTCCTTTCTCACACGTCAGCCCAGCCCCACTGGATGGCACAGGCAACTGATGTGACCTTCCCCTCTTCTCTTGCTCAGAGCTCCCTGAAAAAACACATGGGTCATGAGAACGCCGGCCCCAGTTTTGCCATTAACTCGTGATCTCCAACACGGGCTGTGGAGGGAGGGCTGCCCAGCTCATCTCTTAGGACCTTTCTTGCTAACACTCTGTGACTCAGTGGGTCACACAATTGATTTAGCCAACAGAAGACTTACTGAGCACCTGCTGTGTGCCTCACTCTGTTCTAGACACTTGGTGCACATCAGAGCAGACCAAAGCCCTGCCTTCAGGGCCCGTCCACTGCAAATGGGTGGACAGTAGACAGCAGTGAGTGAGTGGTGTGTGGTGTGGCCGGTGTGGCAGGTGTGGCCAGTGGCCAGTGCAAAGGGAAAAAGGACCAGATGACACGGCGAGACTAGGAGAGCCTGTGGGGGATGGGCAGGCGCTGGTGCAGCAAGAGGGTGCTCAGGCAAGAGGGCGATGCTGAACAGACAGGGAGGAGGGATGGACATCTGAGGGAAGAACATTCCAGACAGCCAGAGGACCAGTAACCAAGGCCCCGAGTCAAGTGTGTCCCTGGCATGATGAGGGAGAGGTTATGGAGGGGAGGGACAGGGAACCCTCGGAGCCAGGGAGACCCTCAGGACTCTGGGGTTTGTCCATCATGAAATGGGGAGCTACCAAAGGCCTCTGAGCAGAGGAGGGATGTGTTCCATTATACTTGTAAAGGCCACTTTGGATGCTCTGTGGAAAATGGGACGTAGAGGGGCAAGGTGGAAGCTTTATTGGAGCTTGGACATGAAGCCAGGTGTAACATGTAGCAGGAACACATATGAGACACTAATCTGTCTTGGGATTTGAGGGGAGAACATTCCAGACAGCCAGAGGACCAGTTACCAAGCTGTGTAGACAGCACACTGAATTTGGATTCTGTGCAGTGGCAGAATCCACAGTATCTACCATCTTCCAGCTGTGCCTAGTTGTGCCAGGGCCTGCTGGTGTCCATCAGGTGTCCAACAGGAAGACCCTTCACTTCCTATGTATTCCATCCTTCACTTTTAACCTGTCTACATATTTCAAGTGCCTTTCTTGTGTCTGACACACAGCTGGGTCTTGCGTTCTGTCTAGTCTGACAGTCTGTTTCTATTGGAGTATTTAGACCATTGACGTGCCCTTCCACATAATGACTGGTGGGGTTGGATTTCAACTGCATATTACTATTAGTTTTCTGTTTTTCCCATCTGCTTTTTACTTTTTTCTCTGCCTGCCTAATTTTGGATTTTTTAGGGTTCCGTTTTACTTCCGCTACGGGCTTCCTGGCTGTCCTTCTTTGGTTTATTGTTGAGTGGTCGCTCTAGGATTTGCCATACATATCTTCAACTCAACACAGTGTACGTTTAATTACTACTGTACGAATTCAGTATGAGGGCAGCATCTAGGATTTACCATAATCACCTTCAGCTTAGCACATTTACCTCGAATTACTATCACGCAACTTCAGTGTAATGGCAGTGGCTTGCGTCACGCTTCACTTCACTTCCCTCCCATCCTTTAAGTTACTGTTAGACCTTCTGCTTCTTCCACATATGCTGTGAACTGCACAACGTTATTTCTGCGCTCAAATATTATCTTGTTTTAGATATTGCAAGTATTTTGTATTTACCTGCACATCTGCCTCCAGCACCCTCCATTTCTCTTTGCCACAAGAACTCAGCTCTAACATCCTGTGGCACAGCTCTAACGTCCCCTGTGGCGCAGCTCTAGCGTCTAATCTGTGGCCCAGCTCTAACATCTCCTGTGGCGCAGCTCTAACGTCTCATCTCCTGTGGCGCAGCTCTAATGTCTCATCTCCTG